AGGCCTACCGTCCACACTAACCCCTCACGAAAACGGAGCTTTTCGAAAACGCTCTTCAAACCGGAGCAATCTGAAAACGCCGGCATTTTGTTTTCGTGTGGACAGAAAACATTTTGAAAACGGAGCTTTTAGTAAACGATGTAGTCAGGATAATGTGATTTTCCTGACCGAGTTTTCCTCAAACACAAATCCAAAATGACCGGTGATTGTTGCGTTTTTGAATTCCTCCGACGAAGTGTGAACAGGGCCTGAGTGACGACTTTTTTCTTTGTTAAACCTTTCCTCGTTCACTTAGTTGATCGTTTTCGGCCTTACCTCTGGTTCATTTACATCATTTCTTTGGAGGCAACCAGTACTGGTATCACTTGACAATCTGTAGGTTAGGCTATTTAGCTGTCAAATAAAAAAAAAATGATTACATGACTGCGACGTGACAAACGTAAGCAGATGCTTACCTTTCGCGCACGCACGCGTTTTCCAAGAATAATTCACGAAGACGTAACAATTTATCAGCAGATTAAAAAGAACCATTATGATAAATACTTTACTGAACTAGCTTGTTCGGTCCGTATTGGAGAATATTTTTTGTAAGTTTATGGACCTAGCCTGCGGCTTGGCCCATAAACCTGCCAAAAAAAAAAAGAACTCTACCAACACTTCACGAATTTAGACCTTTCTTTAGTTCAATAACATAGATGTAAACAATTATTACAGCACTGAGCAGTTTTTCATTCGTGCCAAACGTTGTGTGATCTAGAACACGATTGAGAAAATCTGGCGGACTTATATGTTATTCACATAAAACTATCACATCGATTTTCTCTCTTTATTTCAGTCGCTTATTTGCGTCCTTTTGTTTCTTTTCTTGTTTGTTTGTTGTTGTTGTTGTTGTTGTTTTGCAACAGCTGTGTTAAAATTGTTACTAATGCCTTGAAAAAACCAAGATGAAGTTGTTAGGTAGATTTGGAAGGGATAGCGGCTTTTAGTTATTAGTTCTAAGTGCTTTATTCCTAAGACACAACGACAGAATTTGTATATGTTTGCCACGTATTTTCAGTTTGAGATCAAACTCGTGACTCGCTTGCACATGTTTTCCCGCGCGTTGCGTCACCTACATGTATTTGCTTCTAGTTTTGAATGGTTTACTGGATTTTCTGCGCCTTTTGTGATTAGTCAGAGAGAGTATTTGGAATTTGGTTCCATGACACTCAGTTGAAAGTCACTCTATCTGGAGTGTTTTACCTGCACACTCTTCCACGAAACTTCAGCAGGAACGCGCAACGTTGCTGGCTCCTGGAAGAAAAAATATATTATTATATAAATTTTACGCGTGCCTCCATTTTACAAGGCATACAAAAATGTAACTGGCGAACCCAAATGACCTACAAGTGAAGGGTTCTTGATTTACACCTAACTGATTAAACATTATTACGAAAATATTTCGTAATAGAATCAGCTAAGCCGCAAGTTTTCTTCTATATGTTCTTTTTGTTCCTATCTTTGGCCATTTTAGTTTGCTTGTCTATCTGCCTGCCTGTCTGTCTGTCTGTCTGTCTGTCTGTCTGTCTGTCTGTCTGTCTGGGTAGTTGGCTGGCTAAGTGGCTGTCTACTT